AGTAAGCGAATATTAATATAATATTAAATTATAATAATAAGTAGATTTATGCATTTGTAGGATATTCAAAAATAACTATTAATATTAATAATACTGTGATACTAATATGTATAATATTACATTGTTACAATATATAATAAATTAATTGACAATTAATTATTGCTATATTAACTAATAACAACAATGAATTTATGAACAACAATTTTGTTCTGCACAAGAAATGGAATGTTAAACATTGAAAAAAATATTCCTCTTTTATACTCACAGTATCAGTATCTTCTTAATAAGTGCGACAATAATAATCACAAGTTCATAAACACGTTCATAAGTTGTTTCTGATCTCATCCTCGAATGACGAAACCGGTATCAGCCTCCACCATCTGTAACAGATAGTACAGAATTAATAAGTTTAGGAGAGAAGATCTCCAATGCTGAAGTTTAAAAAATTACGGAAATTAGAAATTTATGAATTCCAGATTTTTGAGAAAAATTTTAGTCGAGATATAACAGCACAATCGTACGAAAAAATGTGATTTCGCTTCTTTCAAATAAATTACGATATATAAAGAATTATATGAATTTTAATTATAAATTTCTTCTTAATAAACGTTACATCCATCATCACAGGCCCAACGTTTGACGCTCTTTTAATATCGCACACGTGAAATCATAAAATACCGATACTGAAGTAATGAAATTAACTAATTAATCTACCATCTACCTCTGAAATATCTAAAATCAATTTCAATCAGTTTAGATTCAATTTAACATCGAGATTAAATGCGATAAGATAGAACGAATTAACAATATGGAAACATTTATAATTAAAAGTATCTAATACACGAAGAGAGAGGGAGAGAAGAAAAAGGGACGAGAATAAAACCCGTGCTCGAAATTGCTGATCAAGTTCTCTTGATAGTTGAACACACTTAAGGACAGCAAACCTATTAGCAAACCTATTGATCGACAAACGAGCAACGTGATAAACAACTCATTGATAGTCATCGTGACAAAGAGCGATCTTAACGGTCAATTGATACAGTAGGAAGTGGATATTGCCTCGTCAAGCTTTATCGACAGTTTCTAGTATTCGCTTAACTATCGAGGTCTCTTGTGTGTGTGTGTATATATACATGCATATATACATGCACACGTGTACATATAGATGCATACCAGCAAGCGTCAGTTCGTCGCATGATTGCGAATAAGTAGAACGGAATGTCTACGTCTGCCGTTTGCTGGACTCTAAGCTACTAGATGACCTAATGCTATTCGTATAATGTATATTGAATCATCGTGCCATCGCAACACGAGAAGTAACGAAAGTCGACCGAGTGTCAATGTTGACGATGTTCGAGCTTCGATGTTTAAGAACGCTTCTGGTCATTTAAGAACGGTCATTAAAAAAAAATTTTACGTTGATTTTTGGAATTTTTTAGTGTGTCTTTAGAGTTCTTTCTTTCTTTCTTTAATTACAAAAATTTCTAACTTGAATTATGATTAAGTTGAATAAGTTTAAATTGTTCGACAAACTTTTTGAAAACGTTAAGCTTAATTAAATTTATAATTGTGGCTCTTGACTCGTTTCTTTTTTTTTAATTACATTTACTTGCTGTTAAATTGGAAATTTTGTAAAATTACGTTGAACGAAATATTTTACAATTTATTACAGTTTGTTAAATATGGAAAATGAAATTAGACGAGAGAAATTGAAATTATGTTATTAAGCTTCTTACAGTTTATTTAATGTCAACAGACTTTGAAGTACTGACTACTGATGAATAAATCGTTTCAAGTATTCCAAGAAACGCAAATGAGATTCTGACGGATTATCAAGAGAAATAATATTGCTATAAAGATTCAGATAATCACTCCCTTGTATTTTAGCTATTGAAACTAATTTGTTTCCTTCTTGAAGAGTATTATTTCACTATTTCGAAAGTTATCACGCGAATTCATTCCATCTCACTAACACATTAATTTCACAAAATTTCATCAAGCTTATAAATTCATTTAAATCCTTTATGAAAAAGGATGATCATTGATAAAAATTGATATAATTTATCAATTAAACGTATTCCACACCCTGTACTCTTAAATGAAGAATTGTCAGTTCGAACAAATGAAATGAAATGACAATGTCCACGGAATTCCGCAAAAAGTAAATGAATAAAAATTAGTGGAAACGAATAATTTTCAGTATCAAATCACGAGAGTGAATTGAAATAAAATCTAGAGTAGAGAAAGGGATATCCTATCGAGTAGAAGAACAGAAGAAAAAGAAAAAAAGGAAACATCCGTGAATTCCATATCCGAATGAAGTTTCGCTATCCTGTAAATCTCGATAGTTAATATAAATCGTTGTTGTTAAATAATTACTGCTCTCGCAAGCGATCGAACGGCAATTTATTAAGATTTATGTCATAAATGGAAAATGGCTTGTCATTCGTCGGGACATTGATTCGTCGTATCGGGACAACGACTCGTCGAAAACAACCGTACACGAGAGAGAGAAAAAGGAAAAAAAGAAAAAAAAGAGAAAAACGACAAAGAGATGAATCGTCTTTCGATGACTCACTTTTTTTTGCCTGATCGTAAATCATTGAACCTCGATCGATATCCGATTAACTATTGGCGTCCGTAATTCAGACAGATACCTAAATCCTTCCTCCCACTGATTTATCCTCGATAGATACGGCCGCGAATGTCTCGTTCTTCAACCTTTGTCTCATATCTCTCTTTCTGTTCTTTCTTGTTGTTCCTGTCGCGAGTATATACACGTATTTATAGAGTCCGAACGAATAAAGTATAAAAATGTCGAGAAGAATTTCTATTTCCGACGCTCGTTTTCAGAGAAGATATTTCAGATAAAATTTTCGAACAAGCTCAGTCGAGTTTGGAAAAAATTTGTAAAAATGTAAGATTCTGCATTCGTTGAAGGAACTCTCTGTTTGAGCGATGTTTCTTTAGAACTGCTAACGATTGAAGCATAAAATTAAAAAAAAAAACATTAAATTAAAAGAAGGAAGAAAATCTTTACAATATGATAGGGTGCACGAGTTTTTATTTATGTATTTTACGAAGACTCATTTAAGTTTCTAAAAACACATTGTTTTATATCTATAAAATGTTTTATATCTAAGAAAAATTACCAATTGGTCATTTTGACCATTTTGGTAGTTTCAGTGTTAATTTTGTTTCATGAATTTGCCATGAATAAAAATCCACAATCCACTTGTTAATTATTTTAAATTAATCAGTGACGATAAGAGTTGACGATGAGAGAGTTGGATATGATGTATTTGACGAAAAATTGAGAATTTCACAATTGAATTGGAATTTTGACGTGTATTTCAGCTGTGAATGATCTATGGATCTCTTACGCTCGCAGCTTATGCGCATAATTCTCCACGATATAGCACTATGTTAATGTAAATTCTTCATAATGCGCCATTACGTTAATCTTTTGCAGTCTCGCGTCGCAAAAAACGCTCGAGATCCAAACATTTTTATTTCAATTTTAACCAGGATGAGAACACGAAGTTTTCGAAATTAAAAATCATTAGAAATTTAAATCATAATGTTATGGCCAGACATTGCATAGTCAAGAAGCGAAAACAATTTTTCACTGTTATTATTAAATTTTCTTTTCATTATTCGCGGCACGTAAATGGCAAAATAAATTCGAAAATATTCGACAATGTAATTATAAATTCGACAATTTGTGATTATAATTTCCTGTTCGTTGGAAAAATATATTTCAGAAGTAACAATTAAAATTTCATTAAAAATTAATGATTTTTCGCTCCTGTATCTATATCTACATGATATTGAAAGTAATTTACGTATTAATTTATATGAAATACTTACCAACTAGGTTATTTTCAGTTCCTTTGAATCCGTTCTTTTCCTCTTGTGCCTCTTTTCCTGTTTTTCTTTATATAATTAAATAAAGAATACCTTCAGTGTAAATACTTGAGTATTTAATTCAAATTCTATGATTTGTCATCGTTATTTCAGAATTTATTAAAAAAACAGGAATACGTCCAGTGATTGATCGTGATATTTTACGATTTGCTGTAGAAACGGTGATTGATCATTACAGTTTACAATTTATTAAAAGACCAAGGCTGCATGCTGAAAAATATTTTAAAACCTTTCCGCTGTATAATACTACATGTAAAAAATTACTTTTTAACTGCAACCATAGTTATTCATTGTATCGATTTGGAATTATTTTTAATATTCGTTCACGTGAAAATGGCGGCGAAATATTAAATAAATATTCTTGAAACTTATCTATCATATATATTAAAAAATATCGAAAATTACTGTTCAATCTTATTTTCTTTCCGTTTTATTTATGTAGAATTATTAGATGCAGGTGTATGGATATTCCTCAGATATTCTTATACGCCTATAAATAAAAACTTGGAGCCACTCTAGGGTTGACGAGGAGACGACGGCAGAGTATTAAATAAACAAGTTATAATATAAAGATCATTTTCAAATTTTATTTCTTCTTTTATTTTATTTAGTTTCAATGTACCTCACATGTATCTATCTACGTCTAATATAGAAATATCGGTTTTAAACACACACATACACACACACACACACACACACACACTCGTCAAATATTAAAAACTCATCATTACTACCAATTACAAAAAACTTTCATTTATTTCCTTTTCCTGTTTCATTCGTTCAAAAACTCATCGTAATTACCAAATCATTCCTACTAATTATAACCACGTGATCATTTTATTTACTCGAGACGACTTTTTTTTTTAATATATCTATTCTACGTGTTCATACACACCTGTAAACACCTGTTGTTCGATAAAATATATTGAAACGCATCGATGAAACAACGTCGTTCTGAAATGAGAGTGGAAGGGGAGGGGGAAGCTCCACGACGCGTGACCTTGACTCGCAGCCAGCATCGAGCCGTACTGTATCAATCTAACACGGACAATTCTCTCTCTCACTGTTTGCAGATCGGCAATATCAACTCCGACAGCTGCACGATCAACAACAACGACGCTCCTCGAGGACCGAGCACTTGTCTTCGCTGGCGACTCGTTATGGCAGGGGCCGCGTCGAGACGAGAATACTGCCGCGGCGAAAATGCTGCGCGTAAAAACGATCAGCGGACGATTGTCGCGCGAACAACGAGAGCCGCGATAAACCGAAAGGAATTTAACTGTTGAGGAAAGGCCCGGCTCGCGCACAAAATTATGTCAAGAGCGAGCGAAGCGGTGAAGGGAGAGGAAGAGACGATGGAAAAGGCGCGGTTCGTTCCTCGATTTAATTAAGTCTAATTAAGTCTAATTAAAGCTGGTCGGTTTCGCGCGACGTGTGTTCGATTCGATTGTGATCCAATGAGTACTTTCCTTCGTTTATTTTCTTTCTTGTTTTTTTTTTTTTTTTTCAATTGAACCACTCGTGATCTTTGGATTTTAATTCTAAACCAATTGTCGATAGACGGAGATTCTGAGATTAAATTTTTCGGGGAAGAGATTTTTATTTGATTTTCCTTTCCTTTTTTGTGCTTTCTTCTGAATCTTTTTTTGTTGGTACAGTAAAATTATATTCGTATTGCATGATGAATCAAAGAATCAGTTGGTTTCATTGATTTTATAAAAGTCGATGATCTTTACTTCAACTCGAAAGCTTGAAATATCCTTCGCTCTTTAAAATAGAAACTAACTTCCTCGTAAACTTTTTCCAAGGAGTAAGAATAATTGTGACTTTGCTGGAAGAAAAGATACTGATGAACAGAACGTTCATTCGCTCGAGAAGTTTATTCCTTTTTGAAATTTCGAAACTTTGAATTTTTTTTGTTCAAGTGAATCGTTTAGAGCTCGCGTTCTCGATGTTAATTTTAATTGAAAATCCCGAAACTGCTGCTTTAAAAATGATTCAGTCGATCGTTGCAGTTGAATGTCCAAATAATCTCTCCGGTGACTGGATCGTTCAGAATATTCCGAGTTTAAAGAGAAAAGGGACAATCTTATTTCAAATTCAATTAAATTTTTTATACCGAGCTACAGCAATTAGTCCTGTACAAACTTATACCGTTAACCTACTTCCCGGACAACCGAACTCGAAAATTAATTAAATTTCTAATATCTTTATTCTTGTATATTTCGAGTTTCGAACCTGTTATTTCCAACAAAATTCCCATTACTTCTAAATTATGATGCGTTTGTAAATCCTTCCGTTATTTCTAAATTCAATTGAATTGTCATTTAAACTATTTCATTTGTAAATTTCAAATGCAATCTCATTCTGCAACGGTTATATAAAAAAAATTCGAAAGAATATCTAGTTTATTTTATTCCGTTTGACTCTTTTAATCACATTGATCTTGCCACGGGGGCATAAATCTTGAATGAATAATCCACAAGAATCACGAATCTCAAAACACGTCGTACGAACAGTATGTTGATTTAACCTACATGCTCGTAAATCTGCGTGTTAGCAGATTTATTCCGAACCACTCAAATTATCTGGAAACGAGCACTGCCATCCAGCACTGCCTTTTACAAATTATATCTAATAATAATTAGATTACGGATTTTTATACGTTTATAGGAAAAATTCGCAGAAACACAATATCAAAAATTTGCAGTGACACAATATCAAAAGGTGTATACGCGAGATAGTGCTTTTTATAACACTTATTAGTACGTAAAGCCTAGATTTTACTATTTTAGTTGTTACTGTCAAAAATATGAGTTCGCATAAAAATTCACCGTCTGCTAATAAGTTCTTGAAACTAGGTAAGAAGAAGAAAGAGAAAGAGAGAGAGGAATTTCAAAGAAGTACTTCTTTTCACTTTTACCATTTTTTCTTTTCCTTTTTTTTTTTTTTGCCTTTGTTAAATCTTTCTTTCTTGTTCTTTGTAATATACATATATATATATACATACATACATGTATTCGATACATCAATTTTATGCATTTATTTTATTGTAATTCCTTTACGATTACGTTATTCTTTAACAATGATATGCGAGTGGCGTGGAAGGGTATCAAATAAATAATAAACGAAATTTCGTCTTTTCATTCTCATTCCTAAACTCACCCCAATCATTCCCAATTTAATTTTCGATTCAACCCTTGTGACACTGACAATCGACAATTTTGTAATTTACCTTTGTCCGATCCTTTTGCTAATAATAAATAATAAACTACGTCTTTCTTGAATCTCGCGAGCCCACAACGATCCACACTCGATCGAATCCTCACGAGTAAAAATGCGTTCAATCTCGCTCGAGAGAGGTGAAAGTTCAGAAGAACGAAAGTATTCGTCCGGTTTTCGCCAAACGGAATTGCCAGCGAGAGCAATTCGTTTAGAGCGGCATCAACGATGTCCCGTTTTAATCAATCGACGACCGAACGTAATTACAAACGAAATTACACGTTGCTCGGTGTCCTTATTTCTGGCAAATTTAGCGATTTAACGCGGCTAATGGGCGTGTAACTCGACAATAGACGCTCGATCTAATGCAGCCAATACCCCGTGCGCTAATGATAGCCAATTATACCATCATACGGGACCGTGTTGTTCGCCACCGTTTATGGAAAGTACGTGCACGTACCCAGGATTAGAAAGGGATTGCAGCACGAAAGTAACGTCATTCGGAAACACCGTGATCACGTCATTGATGAGGCAACGAAACGATTGTTTGTTCAAGGTGTGAAACTGAACATTGAAACACTTGTAGAAGAAGATGAATGGGGATACATGGTTCTTTATTACCCATTGTGAAAGTGGAAATTGAAACGTTACCGTTACACTCGATTGCTATTAAAATGTACAGATTATGTGTAGGCTATATGTGGAAGAAATGGTAGTTGCATGTAAAGAAATGAAACGAATTTGTTTATATTATGAGACAAAAATTATTATGTAGTCGCAAATTTGTAATTATATTTTATGTTCAATCGTACTGTGTAAATTTTTGATATGTTTCGTTAGATGATGTTGTGAAGAAATTATAGTTACAAACATATGAAATTATAAATATGAAAGAATTAAGAGGAAATTTAATTACAATTCTGAGATTACAACTATCATCTTTTATATATATATATATATATATATATTCTGTGCAATCTATGCATTTTTGCAGTATCAAAATAAAACTGTTCAAAAATTATTATTATTTTTATAATTATTTTCTATTTTAAAATCATTACTATTATTATTATTTAGAACGTGTTAGAATTTCAAAAGAAATAAATGATTCCCTTTTGATTATATATATTTATATTACGTTAGATAATTAAATTTCACAGAGTGAATAAATTTTCTTTCCCGGAAATTAAAATATTTATGCTCGTATCCCTCGCGATAGAGATCAATACTAAAATTCGACTGAATTAAAAATCACGAAACCGAACAGTTTAATCCTCTGATCGAACAACTAAAATTGCACATTTTTACTTTTGATATTCAATACTTATCGCGAATTATTATGAATGATATGTATATTTTATAATGCAATATAATACAATATATTAATGTATTAACAGAGTCTTTATCGCGTAAAGTATAGTTTATGTTCTATTTAATTGTATTGTACGTATTTATATTTATATTGTCGTAAATACAACCATTTATATTGTAATTATATCGCATGCTGCGTATATAATTTACACTTTTCTATCGTGAATATTTCATCGTAACAAGTATATAGTATGTACTTGCCCTAACATCTCTGAGCGGTAGTGTCCATCAGACGATTGTGTCGCGAACAATCCCGTCCAAAGCGAGTGATACATATTTCGTAACGAGATACGAAGGGTTTCCGAGAGAGAAAAGCCAGCCAGAGGGACCGGGCCAAGGAAAGACTACGGAAACGCGGTTTCAGAAACGAAAGGATTACTCGAACAGAGTGAATCCAAAATTAATCGCCAACGGTGAGCAGAGCTGTGCAATATCTCGCGGAACGTCGTTAATATTTTACCAGGAAATTTTCGTGTATCTGCGAAAGGAAGCGTCAGAGGCAAGCAAACCTCCTCGTTTCCTCTCGGGCTGCCGGCTTTCACGTTCCACGCGAACCAAATTCGCGTATAGTAATGCACAACCGGTGTATATATACCAGCCGTAGTTCCAGACGATGCTTCTGTCATCGCCAGATTCCTACTTCGCTGAATAACATTGTCGCGAAGGTAGCGAATGCTTAACAAGCGCTAGACAATAGGCTATTAAGAACGAAAACCGTCATGGCGAGCGACAAGAGTTGTATGTACCTGGTGAGACGGTTAATATCGGCGCGCCAGTGGCTCTGCTTCGCGTTTCCGATTTCCGAATGTTTTCTTCTCTCTTGATTCCACTCTTCTCCTTGTGATCCTTCTGGTTCATTTCTCTTTTTTTTTTTTTCTTTCTTTCTTTCTTCCATCCGATGCTTATTTCTGAACGATACAGTGACATTCTTGTTGGAGAACAAATAATCGACATATAACTTAGGAGTTTATATCAACAGAAATTCACTGATTCTGCTGTCTATTTCTCGTCCATATACATTTGTATTATATAATGGAGATTCAGGTCCAAACATGTGGATTCGACCGAGATTTATTCGATCGTTCGTTTAATCAGACACTGATTGAAATTTGGCTCAGATAAATAGAGTTTTATATGGGTTGCTTTTTATTTCGGTTGTTGGCTAAAATAAACCATGTTGTTATTTTGGCTGAAAATTGATTTGTCGAGTTACGATCGTTTTTTTTTTTTCAGGAATTTCGTTTACTTATCAAAAAAATATTGGTAACTATAAAAATAAATTAATTGAATATCCTATAAAAGTGAAAAGTAATAAAATACTATTCAATTCTCTGTAATTAATAGAAAGAAGTTATTAGTTAATTTTGTAGCTCCGATTTATATAAAAATAGTAAAGTATATGAATCATCGGTGGAATATAAAACACTTTTGCTTAAAAGTACTGTTTACTTTTTAAAAGTAAGCTAACTTCCTTATACGTTTCTCACGAATAAGACAATTCGATTTTTGCATATAATTAAATTAATGTTTCAGCACCGTAAGGAAACGATTAATTAATTTAATACGTATTATTCTTTTAATTATATTACATACTTTACAATAATTATAAATAATACCTGTATTATCATAGTCGAAAGAATGAATATAAAATCAGTATGAAATTTACATTAGAAAGAAATATTATGTTATGTACTTCGTTGAACTTCGTGATCCTTTCTCGAATTACGAAGCAGTTGAATGAATGTAAAATTATCATTGGTATAAAATTCAATTATTCGAAAATAACATTGACTGTACTTTCTAATCACTGTTCATGATGGAAGTATAAGGAAAAATGATACATACATACATATCTCATCGAAATCTCTCTTGACTCGTCTCCTTTATTTCGTTTTAAAAATTACGAAACCTCGAACGCAGACAACGCAGCTTATCGACATATTATAACTGAAGGTATCACAAACTTTTTGATGACCTCTAATTACATTTACCGTATATTGTCCCTATGTTCAGCTAATCGGTAATCTCGATTATTATCCCTCGCCTCGTGGGCTTTGATCAGGGGTTCAACAAGGGTTAATTAACCCTTAACGCTTGACACAGTGACGTGACACACGTACATCAAAGGGTTTGAATATAGCTCGTATCTTTTGTAAAAAGATTTCGAATTTCCATTCGAAAGTTTCCAGCAGTTTCGTACAGTTATGTTCGAAACAGCGGTTACACTTTATGGAAGTTTACTCTCTCTCGTTGCTCGTAATTTACATAGAGTGTGCTTTAATTTTTTCGAAAGTTCTGAAATATCCTCTCAGACACTTCTCTCGGAAAATGTAAATTCATTTAAGTTCCATTCAACTTCGAATAAATTTCGAATAGCTTTCGGGAGTGGGGGGGAGGGGGGAGGGGGACTGGAAAAAACTTTTCAAATCGTTCGGGGAGAATTTCCAGGTCGCGGTTAGTTCGAGAACCATTATGAATTTACATATTTTTTCGATTAACCTAATTTCATTTTAATCGAGTCGGTGAAATACAATATTCATACATATCGCGTCCTGAAAACGGGAAGTGTTATGTGAATATTATGCTCTCGTCGAATGTTCATTTACATTGCGTTACTCGGTATGATCTAATCTTTGAAACGTTTTAAACTTTTGGAAACACTTAGGCGCAGATATTTAGATATTTCAAATATACAAATATAATTGTATTCAGTAATTATTAGAAATGAAACGTGTGAATGTACAAAAATATCTAAATGTTGAACATCGAAGTGTTACAGAACTTAAAAGTACATAGTATTTAAATATTGAAACGTTTAACGTAGAAACGTCTAGACTACATTTAAACATTCAGAAATATTCAAATATTTAGATATTCAAAGAATGAAAATATTTAAATACTCATCCACTTGAAAACACTTCCATGTTTCAGTAAAAAAAAAAAAAAAAAAATTCTTGCGAGAAAATTACACTCGAAAGAAAGCACGCTTGAAATTCCACGATATTCCAGCTTAAGAATTAATCGATCATCCTCTACTTCCCATTCTCGATCATCGTTCTTCGTACCAATACTAAATCGCGAGATTTCTCTAGCTAACTACCAGGTGTTCTCGTTTCTTCTTTCTTCCTGTGTTCTTAAAACCGACTTGCCGAAACATTTAGACCCGATCGCCGGAAATGCATCGTGCAACCTTCGCTCCAATCGAAGATATACAGTTCGCCGAGCGACAAATGACACGGTGTACGCGAAAAAGAAAAAACGAGAGGGGAAAAAAGAAAAAAAGAAATCCGGCCCTTCAATTTTTCGCCAGTTTTCAACCGGTTCGTACAGTTTAGCCGTGCCTTTCGCCTGTCAGTGCAAGGGTACAAAGGGTACGGAGAATTGATACCGATAGTCGATTTTCAAACGACCATTTTACAATACGTTTCCTGAAAGCTCTGGGAAATCGTTTCGACGCACGCGGAGAGATGATTGCGTGAAACGTTTCCCCCGTAAAAGGGCCACTCTCGTGTAAATGACTATCTTCGAGTAAACGCTGACAACTGAAATGAAAGTTACTAAATGGACGGAGAATTTAATTTTCTTGCTTTCGTCGGGCTGAATTCTGCCGGAATTGAAGTTAAAACGAGATGTTGCAAATTCGAGCGGAGCAGAGTCCCTCCATTATTCGTGTATCTTGTCCTTAAATAGCGTATATTTTGGAAAATAATCTCCTGACAAATATTCCAATATCATTAATGTAAACATCGAATCGAATGAATACTGAAATTGTAGTCACTTTAACCATCAAATCGGGTGTCATTAGGTTGTAGATTACTATTGTATAACTTACGTTAGATTACTGAAACTTGGTAATATATTACTGAATACTACTTGAAAATATTTATTAGGAGATTACTTTACAGACGGCTATTGTATAATGCAATTTATATCAATCGATTGCTGGAATTTATTTGATTTTGTCTTGTTTTTCACAGTGCCCATCTATATTCAAAAATGCAAAGATCTACTGCTAAATATGTCGATCAATTAATCGACCGTGAATTTGTAGCGCGATTCAAAAAGTGATTTGATTTTTAATTCATTTTACGTTGATTTGTGCACACTTAGGTGGAACAGTCTCACTACTCTAACACTCGAAACTTTCGAATTTTCTCAAAATTTTTCTTGCCATTCTACGAATTTTCAAACTACACGTGCCAAATACAAAAATTTTTAAATTTTCTCTCAAGCGGAACCACACGTAGCTCTAACTTCTAAAATTTTAAAACCGCGTCCAATTTGCTTCTTAGACATCCGTGATCTTAAATTATATACACTATACAGCGGATGTTTTTCAATTTTCTAAGTTTCTAAAACTCTCTATAAGTTTCTAAATCTCCCTTTAATGAACAGTTGCATGCTCGACTGCACGTAGAATCGCGAATCTCTGAAACGTTCAGAATTATTCTCCGATCTTTTCTTAGTACTTTCAAATTGCGCGTCATCAAACAGAAGCGATCGAATTTTTCAAATTTCCTGGATTAGAGTGTCCCTTTAAATGTGAGCACTTGCACGCTCGCATTCGTATTGTTTCGTCAGGGCTCTCTACGACTTCTTTGACGATTACACGGCTCGAGTGCTCTCTTTTATGAGGCCACGTTGAAGATGAAAGGCAAAAGGAGTTTTATGATGACAAATTGTCCCAGATTATTTGATAAAAAGAAAAAAAAAGAGAAAGGATATATATTCGTGATGAAAATGGTATTTCATGTTTTACACTACGGGGAAAAAGTCCGTGAATTTTGGATTTCATGCTTCATTGAAAAACGTGTAACGAAATTTTTTTTCCGAGAGGAACGTTTTCGCAGAAATAAATTGAAACATTGCAGGAAATGAAATATCGTGTGATATACAAATGTTTAATTAGTTCTTACTTCAAAGGAATATTCATAAATTAAACAAAATTAATTGATATAAAAATAACATGAGATTGGTGCGTGACAAAATGCTTTCGCAAGTAAATCTTTAATCAGATATATCTTCTTTACGAACATTATACTTAATCAATTTAGTATACGACCCGATGCATATATTTCTAATGACTGGTCAATTTGATAATTCAGAAACTTAATTAAATCTGTCGCAGTCTTCTTCTGAAATTCAATTTCAGTTTTAAAAATAATTTATTGATTGAATGGCATCGATAAAAATAATTGTACGAGGATGATCGAATTATTCATCCAAGTTTCAATATTTTTATTATAAATCACTGTCGTATATTAAATCAGTATTTATAATTTATTATAAATCTTCTTCCTCCTAAATTTATTATAAATCTTCTTCCTCCTAAATTTATTATAAATTTTCTTCATAACAGTGGAAAATCTAGCCTGTCAGATTCAAATTTTAGGGAAACATTTCACATGCACCAACTCAACAGTGTGTGGCTGTTAGGTTACTTACGTTCTACGATTCGTATTTTTCGTAAAACATCGTGAGAAAAAAATATCTGTATTAGTTCATTTGGTTACATACGATAAAAATATGGCGTGAAACGTGAGGGCTTGGTTTCGATCAATCTTTCGTTTAATAGTCTAGGTATACTTGATACAATAATCTCTCCCCCCTCCCCCGTTATGCATCGGTAACAATTAATTGGCGACGAAATGAATAATTCGAACTAACAGAAAAAATAGTGGTAAATTTGAAAACAAACGACACACGGTACAACAATTTTTAGCAGTGACATTGTTGCGGTTATCGGTGACTGATATTTCCACGAATAAAAATCCCGGTGTTCCGTACGAACTCGTGACTATAAAATCAACAACGTAACGCCACGTCCCGATGAATTTATATTTTGATAGACAATGCCTCACAAAAAAAATATCTTCTCACGAAACAGACCAATGATTATATTACAACGTAAGAGTTTGATATAAAAGAGTCGATTAACTACTTACACATAGAGATTTATTCGTAATTCTTAACTTTTTAATTCTTTCATTTCAATGTTTATGTCAGCTGTTGGTGAACTTCTCGTTCTAATCATACATAACACGTAGGTATACGTGCTTGTTGATCGTTATATTATTAATTTACAACGTAGCGGTATGGGATTAAATTGTGTCTTCTTTTTTTAACAGTTGTTAACTACTGAGAATAGAGTGTTAATTTATAAAAAATATATAACACGTAATTTATAGGATAACGTGTGACAGAGTGTGGTGCACGTACTATAGATACTGCTGAAGAAAGATGGTGCAAATAAATGGGATTGCGAATACGAATCCGCCCCTATAATTTTCCAACAAGAAACAGATAAGAAAAAGCTAATGAAAAATCGCGTCGCAATTATATTTACCTTAAGGTTGAATTCGCTGGCTCCACGCTCCAGGCTTCGTCGTAAAAAAAAGTTAGAATTGTATTGTTATTGCACATTGGTAAGAAAACTGTTTAAAAAGTTAATTAGGAAAGAAATTTAGGAAATTAAAAAGATACCGAGGCAAACATATCTCCTGAAAAGCCGAGCGTTTCTAAAAAAATAAAGATCATTGAAAGATATAATCACGTGCACAGTGTGATTGCAATTTTTTTAAAAATTAAAGAAAATTAAGATTAAGAAATGTGAAAATTGAGGGAAAAGTCAAATTAAAACGTGAAACAAAGATGCTTTATAAATCAATAAGAAAAAAAATTTGTTCAAATCAAAAAATGAACGTAGGTAGGTATTATAAAACTACAACTGAAGTAAGAATATACAATTAGCAAAAGATTATTAATCAAACGCAATGACACGAGCAACGTACATATTGAAGTGTAAAATATCATTGTTAAAAGAGAAGAAGAAGTAAGAATGATTTAATATGAATTATAAATTGTTTGCAGTAACATTAAAAAGAAAAACAATTATAATTAATAAACGTGTTTGATTAATTAGAAATCAGAAAGATATACCAGATTGTTATAATAAATCTCCCATCAAGATGAACGATACTGAAAGCTGAAAATTTTAATTCTGATCGACCTGTTACACTTATACTACTGCGTTTGATTAAAAATTATCTTCTGTCGAGTGTTGTCTTTCGTTAAAGACTCGAAGCGTGTGTCCCTTAAAATAAGAGTAAAACTGCAAAATATTGCAGCTGAAAAACGTAAAGCGCGACTTTTGTAACTGATTATTAAAAAACGTTCGACTTCATCCCTTAACCCTAGAACGACTAAGATGTATTTTCTCAAGCCCATCAAACATAGAAAATAGAGAAAATTAGTTGCCTCGTGTCAAACAATTCTACAAAATTGTTAATATACCTGTACGAATTTAATTTAATATTTAATATTCATTTAAATATTAATTATAATATTTAAATTTATTAATATCAATATTAATTATTATATTATTAATATTAATACTTATTTAAATATATTAAAGGTTAAATAATATTTATTTAATATTTAATATTTATTAATTTAATATTTCGCAAAATATATAAACGGAACAAAATATATAACGCCACTTGAAAAATATCCGTGTCTAAAAAGATTGTTTCCCATCGAGAAACGTAACGAATTTATACGAATCCACCCTTAGTTCTTTCCCTTGATCTTCCATCTGAAGACTTCGACCTTAGTCTTTCCAGGGCTAATCAATTAGGGTTCCTCAACCCAGTAGAACACGCGTACACTCGACTCGAGGGAGGCTTCTCCGACGCAACCTGATCTCCATAAATCCGCGCAGCGACTATCCAAAGACCAGCCTTTTACATACTCACTCACTCATTCACTCACTCACTCTCTCTCTCTCTCTCTCTCTCTCTTTCAGGATTAAAACTATCGTTGTTCCGGCCTGTCAGCTGCAAGCCGCGTGAAAACGCGCTCAACGAAGCGTCGAATTTTCGAAATTAATCGGCAAAACCGGTTCTCGTTTAACCGGCGACGAAACATTGTCCGTCCCTGGCGAAATTTTAATCGACGATCGACGATTAACACGAGAGAGAGAGAAAGAGAGAGAGAGAGAGAGAGAGGAAAGAGTATGAATGACGAGGGGGAGGGAGGGAGGTGATGGTTCAACCCGAGGTTCGTTCCGATGCGAATTCCAATCCCGTTTCGTTCGACAAATTCGCGATCGTTGTCCCGTGAAAAGAAACGAACGTAAAATCGGCCGCGTACCGACACACAATGCCATGTTTCGAGCTGGGTTTTTGGTAATCGACCAAACGGCAACGCGCACTCGATTCCAGATTTGCATAGAATTCCCGATAGATTCTACCCCTGCCACTCTTGCCTACCGTCTACGGATCTATGGATCGTCGATAAATCGCTCTTCGTTCCGCTTTTTTCCGCTCTCTGTTACTTTCTTTTTCCTTCTCTCTCTCTCTCTCTCTCTGCGCTCTGTCCCTTTTGTCCTTGGCATATCGCGTACGCTGGTCACGCAACGATCGCGCTCGTAATTTCGCTTGGAAACGGCGAGGTAGCGAGCGAGAGGAACGGTTCTCGAGGATTTTCCTCGAAAAATTTTTCCAGGTCCGAGGTGCGAAGGTGGCGCGCGTAGATCGCGATCGTGATCGTGTAGATTCGATGCCTCCTGACATAGGAGACCTACGATTGATCTATGGCCTAGATTTCTATTCTAGACGATTTGTCAGGCGGTGTGCCACGACGATGGAGCGGATCGTGAAAGAAACGCGAGAAGAAGTGGATGGGCGTTCCATGGTCGTGGAAAGTCAACCGACGATGATCGACGAGATCATCTTGCTCGAATGGCGTTTACTTAGGCTGCTACGTGTTACGCAATAGAGTAGTAGATATGTGTGTGACGATAATTGGAAAAACTAGATAGGTACACTCGCTGTTACTGTTAGGGATTGTTCTTTATGCTCGAATGCAGACTATAGTGCGTAACGTAAAGTTTTATCAATTATTGAGTCGCCGATATTAAAAACGGGATTGAGTTGTTCCTATTTCAATTCCTTCACGCTTGACATTGTATTTTATTAAAATATAATGAATTTTTAATTTAATTAAACACAACGTTTTAATTAAGATACGGTACGTTAGCAAATTTAAATTGAGTACTTATCAAGTTGCTGATTAATTAAATGATAGCTGTTACTCGTTTATTTATAAGTATAATTTTAAATTTTAGTGCAACTTTGTGACTTTTTCACAAGAACATAACAAGACGAATTTTTACTATTAATAACTGTTAAAGAAATCCTTTCGGACAGTTTGGAAGTGACACAGCTCTGGAAGTTTTAATTGCGTACTTATACCGTGATTGAAATTATTCAGAAGCCAGGTGAATTAATGAACGACATCGTTTTAAATAATAAGACAGGTATTAGAATCTTTCGACTTAAATTTTACTGCCAAAATATGAAAAAAAATTAGCACAATACGAAATCAAATAGATAATGTTATTCGACTGTCGAATAACTATTACGTATTGAATTCATTCCCATTTACATTCGAAATTTTTAAAATAACAAAATTTAGAAATTCGATACATTCTTGAGTATTGATCAATCCTTAATTTGAACAGTAGTGTACATATATATATATATATATGTATCTATGTATATATAATTTTTTCCCCGAGATGTTTCAGCTTTTGTGACCTACATTGACACAAAAAAAATATAAAACTTTCTCAAATGAAAGAAACAATCTCAATAACAACATGCCAGAATATAAATTTCCTGATCTTTTAATTTTCCAATAAATTCTATGAACAATAAATTCCTCCAAAGTATATTAAAACGATCAAATTAATCCACTGTGTAATTTCTAAGTTATTTTTCAAATTTTCACGTGCGTACGTGTATATTGAAATATCATCAAAAAAAAAAACATCGCACGAAACATTCGTTGAAATTAAATTATTTTCGGATCTCGCTCGGGAGGACGATTTCCAAGCGACCCTTTTCAGACCAAGAGTATTTCACAGACGTGTGTACACGCACCCGCGCATCAACGAGTACCACCAACGAGAAGATATCCGTGTCTCATCCGCGTTTAACCTTCCGGATAAAACGGAATCCATTACGCGCGCGGAGGGAACGCACGCCCAGTCCACGGCATTTCCATTTATATTACCTTATCGTTATTCTTCCGGTCCGCTACCTTTCGCCCTCCTTCTCCTCCACCCCCATCCCTCTTTCACCTGGATTCCTTTTTCTCCGTCGTTGCTGTTCCCCGTTCCCTGTTCTCGCGCTCACCTGATCGCCGAAGGATCCGCCGCTCACTCCTGTCGCAGGACCACGGTGAACACGCACTTGCTCGACCAGCCTGCTTCGTCGCTCGCCTCGTACTCCACTCTGTGGCCACCAACGTCGAAACGCCGGCCCGGACTCTGGAAAAATAAAAAAAGGCAGGTCGAATGATGAGTGTAGCGTGGTGGACGTCACATTGGTGGACTTCGTATCACTTTGTTTCCTTTTTCTCCTCTTTTTTTTTTTTCTTAATTATTGAATTAACTGCATATGTCGAATAAAATATCAAAACGCATTCTGTTATTTAGTGTATACAATATATGTTATATACATACACTATAATATAAATATTTTTTATATATATATATAGTGTATATAATATGTGTAAGTTGTATTAAATCAATAACAGCAAAAGAAAGACATATTTTTTTCCTCAATTTTATATTAATAAACTTTTCACTCTTCGGTAAAGTTTCAAATTGTGCCGGCGCTCGAATATTTTTTGCAATTTTTTCTAGAGAACGTTGTTGAATATTTTTATTATTAGTGAATAATGATGTGTGGGCAAGTAATAGAACTCTTCGTCAATGAAATTAACCAATCATTAGAAAAATTACATGTATAGATTGCGTAAAAGTATATATGTATTTCAATTTAGATACACGTATCTTTTAGTAGGCTTATTTTCTTAATCTATATATTTTTATATTGTATAATAAACTTCGCTTTTGGTATTAAAAATTAAAGAAAATTTTAGAATTTCCATTTCTTTAATTTACTTCTAAACCTAAATGTCACTAAAACGTGTATTTCACGTGTGTTTCGGCCATATTATTTAAAACTTTATGAAATATTTTTAATAAATTAACTCAAAAAGGATTTAACATTTTGAATAATCTACTACATAGATAGATGTGCATTCATCAATTTTAATAAAAGACGAAAATTAAAGGAGGATACAAGTTTTTTCACTACATGTATACCTTTAAAATTACACAAAAACTGATGAATTACTTTTGAAAGTGAGATTGAAAAATGAAAAACTGCAGATATCTAAAGAAGTGTACAAAGAGAATGTATGGAAGAAAAAAGACAGAAACGATCTCTTTTAAAGGAGCATAACGTTAGTAGAGTGGTGTAATTATCACATAGCAACCAGTTTGGGTATTTTCGAGATTCTAACTTTCCAAATTGAAAGTTTCACAGAATTCAATGGAAACTTGTTGAGTGGAAATCGTATTACACAAAAGTGGTTTGGATATTATTGGCGGGTTTAGTAAAGTTTGCAGAAACAGCAAATTGAAATTTGACGTACAAATATACCACATTTGCACATGTACGAAAAGCAGTTATATTTCAATATCTTGCTATTTTAGACAGAGCAATTTTCATATATAATACAATATATAGTAAATACTGATAAATAATTGAAGTGATTGTTAAATTAGAATAACAATAGAAATAATTGATAATAGAAAATAATTAAAAAATGAAAATTTATAATAGCCATTGAAATAAATAAGAATCTCTATAATACTGACATAAATCAATTTTGTGTATCAATTTTGTGCAAATTATAGAGAATGTCGATAAATATTTTCATCGTAAATTTGGACTTTCTCAAGATACTTTTATTCCTTTACCAAATTTATACTAACATCAAATTTACATTGAAGTAGTCGTTTTCTACCTGTCATCTCGATGATTAATGTTCATAGAATCCTGGTCTACTCTGATAAAATATTTATTATTTCCTTTTATGACAACCCTATATCCTCAGCAATAAATTAACCGGCGTCTCTTTGGATAACATATATACAACAAATATACAGCTCTTCACGAGAGCATTCCAATATTTATAGAAACCTTTAACAAAGTTAATGAAATTTCAACACACGTTTGTAACACATAATATTGTGTTATACAACGCATATTATATTGTAGAAAACATTATTGGATATAAAAGTACATAAAAGTGTACATAAAAGTGTAGATACAGTGGCTCATGAAAGTATTCGACCTTAAGACATATTCGAAAGCACACTATATACTTACGTCCATAAATGTACATAAATTTCTTACGTTCATAAATTTCTTTTTACAGAAAAATGTTTGGACACTTTCATGAACCATGATTGATTAGATATGTATTTACAAACTTGATACCGTAGTCAACAATACTCTGAATATTTAACGATATTTAATTCATTATTGAATCATAATTACGCTTACGTGTTTGTTTCAATTTGATCTGTTGGATCTGCCCCGGAGCATGGCAAGAGGTTTAGAATGCATTTAAAAAAGACAAATAGTGGCCGGTATTTATGAGGGAGCATCATATTTTCCGCACAGTTACGCAGCTTACCGTGAAACACGGCTTACCATCGCGAACTAGTTTGTAAACCAAAATTGTTACACGATATTTGCATGGAAACATAGGTCGTTCTCCCGGCAAACTTTGCACAGTTTAAATTCTCGGCAAACTTTCTCCAGTTTGTACGAACAATTTGGACAGTAACCGACTCGATACACCGATCACACCCATTTCACGCGCATCACACTAACATCATTGTGAACGTTTTGATTAGATCGATAAAAAATAAAGTTTATTTCTTATAATTATAAATTATTTATAAATTTATAAATAAATTTATTTATCTTTTCTTTATCAATTTATTTATTTCATCTAAATTTCTCTGTAACTGCATCATTATTGTAAAAATGCAACAACTTGGAAAATTGTATTTTATTATGAGAAAGTTCCTTGGGACACTTTTAAAGCTTTGATTTAAGATTCTTAACTAAAAGAACTGCTCTTTTGTGAGCAAAGAAGAATATTTTTCTTATTTGTAAGCAAGAGTAGAATACATTTACCAATTACATAAATGTGTAATAATTGATTTAATTTTTATCCAGCGAGGAATATTATAGCTAAATAACTTAGTAATATTTATTCCTTCTTTGTCTTTTCTACTAAAATTTGTGCGAAATTTCATTCAACGAAGTTTACCTACTTTTAAGTCAATAAGGATACCATTAAAAAATAAATATAATAGCAGCACAAGTAATCTCCAATCTTCCAAAAATTGCTATAATATCTATTCCCCCTCGTAGGACCTACTTTTAAACTTGTACACTTGTCAAATCTTGCATTATTATTTCTTCACCCTGATCCTACAACATGACCTAATTTTATCCAAATTGAGATATTCTGAGTGAAAAATTTGAGTCCTGTGTACTCAACTGAACCGATACGAATAAACAATTTCTTAAACAGTGAAATTAATTAATTAATTAGCCTGGCATCGGATTAAATTTCACGAAACATCACATAGTTAAGCTATATCGATATAAATTATTCAAAGCGGAATAATTTAAGGGAAGAACGGACGTACGATGTTCCCCGGTTTTAATGAAATTTTCTTAGAAATTCCTGTATGTCGACGGAAGTACAGAGTCACGGCGTTCTGCAGCAAGAAACCCTTCAACAGTAATTTCGCCCCGAGAGGAGTATTTCAGAACCGAGATTCCTGTTTGCACGTCCGGCTCGGCTGGCCTTTATCTTGTTCCCTCTTTTTTTTTCCTTCTTTCCTCGCAAATTCCCTTTCTTATGTAAATTTCCTCCCTCCCACTCCGATTGATATCGCGAAATTAAAATGACAAAATTAACTGCATTTCGTTGACGATTCGGGTTAAATTTGAATTTCACCTCGATGATGCCGAAAGAGAAATGAAAAGAGAACCTCGGAGGAAGGTGAACTGAATTGGAGTTGATCGTGAGACGAGACGTCTGAATAATACGCAATAACTGGACTTTTACGCATTTATAGAAAATTTTCAATGCGCAGAGATGCGGAATATGCACATTAAAATTGGAACTCAGAGTTCTTTATAACACTTGACGCGTAGAATAACTTTCTGACAAGTTTCTATTTTGGGTCTTCAAAATTCTTCACGTTTCTCTCTTCTTTTCTCTTCTTTTTTTTTTTTCTTTTAATTCTGTAATTAAGTTTACAGATTGTTGTATATAGGAAATAATATATAGAACGCATATCCAAAATATATCTGTTGTTGTTGTTAAATATATCTGATTAAAATATAATGTAAAGTACAAATAATTAAGAAATAAAAGCGAGATAATATGTAATTAATAGGCGAAACCTGACCTAAATCTTTGCCTAGCTCCTGTTTCTTGAAAAATATTCACGAAAATGTGCATCTGGTTGAAAATCCGCAGTGCATGTTTGATAACGAAGAAATAAAAGTATAAATAATTAGAATATGAAGAAAACTGAAAAAAATGAAATTAATTAACGGGTGAAATAAACCTCCACATTTTCGCAGGATTTTCACAGAAATGTGAATCTGCACGCAGTTGAACGAGTCCAATATTATGTATTATTGGGAATAAGTCCAAAGTTTATTGACAATAAGTCCAAAATTATGTATTATTGAGAATAAAGCATTCCGAATGAATGTGTCCGCTGATAATTAATAGGATCGTTGAATAATATCGAGAACATATTCACGAATTCTTTTGTATAATATTTACGAAGTCTCTCATAAAGCATCGTGCATAGAGACACATACGTACGAAATTAATAAATACTGCATGGAATTTTCCCATTGATCGAGATTCATGCGATTGCTGAACACGAGAAACCTTTCACCCCCATTACTAAGTAAACCGGGAACGAAACAGACGAAATCAGAAATACGACGTATGTATGTATAATCCTCTATTAATGCATGATCTATTCTCTTATTTGCTATTGCATTTCGAAACTGCGAGTATCGAAGGTTTCGCAACTGATCTTCGCGTCAGTCTGTGTAAGTAAAAAAAAAAAAAAAAAACGATACAGCTAGCTGATGCGTACAAGTACGAAAATTCAACGAATGAATTCTCACGTCGAATCAACTCTTCTTCGTTAATTAAAATAATCACTGAATACAGTTTCACGTAACTAGACTGCAGATATTTGTGCAAATTCATGCTTTCGCTGCTGATCCAAAGAAACGAAATTTAAATAAAGATTCTCTTGATCAAAGTATGTTATTTTGTTTCACATACGTTTAAGTATGTGAGAGCGAATGTATCTGTGTATTTCTGCAGTTTTGAAAATTAAAAATAAATGTCGCAAGCACATATGTAAATATCTACGATCACGTACAGTTGTCAAATAAAAGAAGAGAAGAAAGAAGATCTTTTCATCGGTGGAAAAGTAAACGAAAAAAAAAAAAAAAGAAAAAGAAAAAATTACTGCACAGTTGTTACTGTGCCATGCTGCAGGCGTTATACTTCTACGTCAAGAGACTCGCGCAAATCGGATTGTCCAAAGTCTGTACTTTCCTCTCGAACGAGCGTTCGTCGTGACGAACGTGACACACATTCGACAATCGCAATATAATCGAACGCCATTAAGAAATTAAGTGCTTTATAATTAACACTGACCTCGTTGCTCCTAATCCGGGTCACCTTCACGTTGTCCGTGAAAATTGGTTCGGTCCACGTGATTGCCGTCCCATTTCTCCCGGTGACCTCGATGTCGTTCGGACAGTCTTTAACTTTTGGCGCTTCGCCTCCTGAAATACGATAAAATCCAATCAGAAGACCTTTCTTCGCTCAGAGACAGAGGACCGTGGGTCTGAAGTGGGTTATAAAACGAGTCACGTGATTCCCCGAGTTGTTAAAGTTCAACCCGTTGCCCTTCGCCCCATGATTATACATGTACATACGGCGAAAGTAATATAACTTGAGAGTGTACGTTCCTGCCAGGAAAATTTTACTTGATGAATTTTACGAATTTCAACAAGATTTCAACCTTGTGTAAAAATAAAAATATAAAGTGTAATATTATATTATATTATACTATATTATTATATATTACTATATTATTATATTATTATATATCATATATTATATAGAATATAGCATGATTTTATAATGTAAAAATATACAGCGTAATACAAAGGAAACTACTTTTCGTTATATTCGTAAGGTATTATATAAATGTTGAATTCAGTATTGTTATTATTACGTTACGAATATTGAATACAATGAATACTTTATGTATACTTTTGCTCAAAATTTTGGAGCAGCGTTTGCTTTTCGAACGAAATGAAATCTTTTAAATCTTTCTGATAAATACGAATATTACAATTATAATTTTAATTTTCAATCAATGTAATCAATTAAAAGATTATGGTATTATAAATGAAATATTCATTTAGTTGGAAACATTATTTCTTTCGAAATCTCAACGTGCTTTAAATTTTTGAGAGAAGGTGTAATACATATTAATTACGTTAAATAAAAACAAAAAGAGAATTTAAATTCGATTCCATAATACGATTCCAGTATATAAAATTTTCAACCATATTATCAGAATTTGAAATATTAAGCCTCGTTTGAATTCGCACGAATTCGATTTATGTTATTTAATTTCAAAGCACTTCATTTCAATTATTTTACGTGACTAAAGTGTACAAAATACATTGTAATGTAAATAAATGATGCTTCGTTCAAATTTAAATTCTTCATTTAATTCGATTAAATTGCAAGAAATATACTGCGTTTCAAATAAAATTTTCGAAATCGTACCAAATACATTGAATAGAAAATTGTTCAAAAAAATTGAGAAGAGAACAAAGAGATCTTATTATTAGTCAAAGTCTCGCGCAATTTGTTACATGTCTGGAATAACAATATCTTCAAGTGACGCGAAGTTCAATTACGAGGCTTCATATTATTTCAATTAAGCGAAGACATTTGCTGAACGTTCAACAGACTAAGACAGCCTTTAACGATTATTATAGCGAACATTAGTATTACGTGAGCAGTTTTCCAATGCCGGCGAGTTAATATTCCAAGCATTCCTTCCCCCTTCTTTCCCCTCCTCTCTTTTCCCTTTCATTACGCTTGACAAACGTTTCCGCCGAAATTGCAATTTCTTACCGAAGAAATATATGCCAGCGATAATGGCAGATGTTATAATAATGTAACTGCATTTATTTCCTTCGCCCCTTGTTTTCTGTCTCATTTGACAAAAGTTCTCATCAATGTCCCACTTTAAGAGAGATATATCCAACGATAATGTTCTAATGTTCTGGTATCAGCTACTCTAATTGTAAGTAACGTTACGCGGAGAATTATATAGAGATGACTTTCCAACTGGCAGAGGTAAATATCACGAACTTTAGCGTCGCTGGATGTTCCTCCAATTACGGAGTCAAACCACTAGAAGTGGTGATTCCAAACATCAGCCGTTGAGATCCCTGGATTGAAGAATAAAGTCAGAAATGAAATAAACTTCCCAATTATGGAGGTAGATGTCGGGAACGTGGGTCGAAAGTTTCACCATTGAGTCAGAAATTCTACAGTGGAAATTGAAATAAGAAATATGTGTAACAGTGAGAAATTGCAGGAATAATAATACGATTTTCAAATGTTTGTATCAAATTACGTCACAGTTGCATAAATTAGAGGAAATCATCAGTCTATTATTATTGTTATAACGTGATACTTCCGTTATCAATAATCTAGCATTAATTTCCTGACTGTTTTTGTAGTTTGAATTAGTAATTTTTATTCTTTTCAAAAAAAGAAAATGTAAAATATATTCTAATTCCGTTAGTCTCTGAAAGAATTCTGAATTTTTAATTCATTCACGAAAATGGAAAAATGGAGAAATAGAATTTAAAAAAATATCAACAGTTACAATACACGCGTATCTTTAAATAAAATAATTACATGAATATTTAGATATGTGAAATTACTGTAGGAATCTATTATTAGTGTCAGTATTACGAACAACATTTACTTCGTCAAATAAGAATTCCAAGTTTTATAAAAGAAAGTTTGACGATCATTTATCTACCTTCTTGCGATACAAAATTAATGGAACATCTATCATGTTGAATTAGGGAAACTACGAGTTATAAATCAACTATCTAAAATAAAAATTCTCATCGATTATAAAGAAAAGTTCTCGATGAAGTTGAAAAAGTTCATCAATATTAAAAAAGTTCTCAATCGTCGTAACAAACAGTGACGTATCATTCAACAGATTTCAATTAATATTAAATTGTTATTGACAGTTGGATCGAATACCATCCAACGAATCTAAATTAATGTTAAATTGTTGAATGCATTATTTATTAGTAATGTTTGAACGTGAAAATCACGATGCTTGAAACTTCCATTTTTTCTTGGCCAACAAGCGGTCTGACCGATAAACTGTAACCTACGATTAAAAACTTTTTGCGTCGTCGAGAGAGAAGCTGATCGCCAACGAGTGGAAACTTCATTCGGTCGCGTTTAATTAGTTTCAAGAATTCACGCGACATTTCACCAATAAGTCAACTTTCTTATCTCGATACTTTTATTCATTTATACTGATTGCTAAATGTCCTCGAATGAAATGAAAAAATTAATAAAATATAATAATAATTTTAATATAATATAATAATAATAATTTAATAATAATTTAGTATAATAATTTTAATATAATAATAATAATTTTAAAGTTGAAACAAACACACGAAGTTGGACACTTTAAAAATCTCGATTCTTCAATCAAATAATTTTAGCCACGAAAAAGTTCGTGTGTTTCATTGACGAAACGATCGGTTACGGTCTTACGACATTTAGAACTTCGATGATTGCACGAAAACGCGTGGTTGATAACGAAATTTTGCGGACTTGGTAAAGAGTGTACTTGGAAGAGAAAAATAGTTGCTTGAATGGTAAGTGGTTGGTAAAAATGGAAGAAAGTTGGAAATTTGAAAGCAGAATTTTTTGGAGATACTCTGCAGAAGCAGATACATAGAATGGAGTATATGTTTGGAGTATTTTATTTCCTAGCAGGCATGCATGAATCTTTTGGAGATATTTTATGCTGATTCTTTACCATTTTTTAAGGATGGTTTCTTTTTGAAAAGAATTATATAATTATGTGGTGTAGAAAATTAGAAATTTGAAAGAAAAATCCTTTGAGATACTTGCAGATGGCATGAGAGATGCGCGATTATCTATTTTTATTTTTAACGAAGTATATGAATATCTTTTAGGGAGAAGAAAATATATCGTTAATGTGGCGTGGAAAATTAAAAATTCGAAAAGAATGAAATTCGAATTTTTGAAAAAATGTTTGGGGATATATGTGGAGAAAATAAAATGAAAGACATACGATCGATCTATTTTTTTTAGAATATATGCATATAAATTTTTTAGAGACAATTAAATCAAGAAAAAAAAAGAGGTAGAGAAATCAAAAATTGAAGATTATCGAATAAATGAAGAATACATAAAAATAAAAAAATATATACACGTTCGTATATAGAAATAAATGATTCTAAGAAAATCGTGAGCTTCAATTAAGAATTAAAAACAATAGTTAAAAACAATGAACATTGAACTGAGAATTGAAAACGACTTGTGACTATTGTTACAAATTAATATTTCGGTATGACGATCCATTTTGCATATCAAAAATTCAAATCAATATCGAGCCTGTCAAAATGACAAATTTCAGATTTTCCACATCCTTCCAATTGTTAAAAACATTCGGACACCTTTCCCTAAAATTATAACTGCCTGATGGATTTTTCATTGCACTAAGATCGATTCACTGAAATGTTCAGAAACAGTTTGGAAAAATCAATGACCAACTAATTCGTCAAGCGTCAGTAGGTCGTTTAGGAAAATCCAGGGAAATCCGCCGATGAAGTAAACTCTCAGCAACTGCACGGCTAATTCTCATTCAACGCTATCCATCGTATAGCACAAGATTAATTCGGCGTACTGGCGCAACGTAGATAGGTATAATCCGCGTAACATTGGCGATTCCCTTTCTGAGGCAATTAAACGCGCGTTTACGCGTTAATATTACAAGTGATATTTCCGCAAATGTGATCATTCCTTTCCAACGCGCAACAGTCCGCTACGATTTGACGTAAATTGGACGTAAAATATAATTTGCCGAATGTTTCGCGTTCCGTTCGCTCAAACTATTTCTCCGTTTCTCCCCGTGGCCATCAGATGCTAACGGTACAATTTCATTTTCGCGCTTTATATATCGAACAGCAAATTACACGCACGTAGTTGGTTGGCTGTTAGAGTTGCTTCGTTCTACTAGAACGTCGATAGTTGAAATCTCGAACATTTGCAACTGATGTTTCCTTTATGGCACATTGACGATCAAGAGTGACGATCGATGGAAAAATATGGAGAAATTTTACAATAATTATAATAATCTAATTTTACAATAATTCTAACAATCTAATGATCTAATTTTAGAATAATTCTAACAATCTAATAATCTAATTTTACAATAATTCTAACAATCTAATAATCTAATTTTACAATAATTCCAATGATCATTTAATACGTAAATTTAATACGTAAGCAATTTTATTATAATTTAATACGTAATTAATTATAATTTAATACGTAATTATGTATTAATTATAATTTAATACGTAAAGCAATTTTCTATCGACATCACAATTTTTCTAATCCCTTGAATTCGTTAAATTTTGGGAAACTGTGTCAAAAAGAAATCTTATTGTTTCACTACATATATAAATTTTTGTAGAACATGATATACTATTTTTCTTTTTGCGAGGAAGAACTTCCAACGTATCTATGCATAAGAAATTAAACGTATGCAATCCAGCTTATATTCTCATAAATATGAATTCGTATAAAAAAAAAAAAACCACAGTCTCGTAATTGGCAATTAATAAGCAGAAAATGAAGAAGTAGAAGATATTTGAAGATTAATAAAAAAGTTATTATCCTACGATTTTTACTAGCATCTATAGTACATTTTCACAATTTCTGGTAAGTAAGATAAATAAATAACACATGATGTACAAAAGAAATGCAACACGTTCATTCCAATTTTTCATACACAATCTTAATACTTCTCTAGTAATTCCGTATCTAAATTCCATCTTTTAATCGTGCTCGCAAAAACATGAATTTACCTAAATTCATCCAATTACGGTACACCAACTCAAAGAAGCGATAGGTACCACTCTGCGACAAGATTAACAGAAATTTGTCTACGCGTGATATATATTACAGAATGGGGCTGCGACGTTGCGGCAATAATTTCAATCTCGCGAAGCCGAATTAATTTCACTCGAATAAAAACGACCAATTACCGACGAATACGCACATACGTATGTACGCAAATACCAGGTTGAATTGAGAAAGCAATTAAACGATAACGCGCCGCCGTCTTGTTTGCTCCGAAATGATATTAATTTCGAACTAATAAGGCAAGATCTTATTACGTCCGCTCGCGTGCACTGAATTAATTTCAATACCTCGCTAACGCGAGGGCACAAAGAGGCAACAGACCATCTTCTTTCCAGTAGTACGGCTTTAAACGGTATTTTTCAGATGATCGTGAGTGAATATAGGTCAAAGATTAAGCGGTAATTAAATCCCCCCCCCCCTCCCTCCACTTCCCTTTCAGAAACGCGGGCCAATTCCATTTTGTAATTACCGACGTTTCCAGGCATGTTTCTTTAAACGCGAACTACATTTTTATTTCCCCGACGAAAAAAGGTGGAGACGAAAGTTTAATAAACAGCGGAGCGGTGTTTTCGCGCTCGTACAGGCGATAAAAATTCAATTTTGTTTCAAATGTTCGAGAACTGTTATTTCTGTAGTTCAGCTGTGTGCTTCGGTTTTTTTTTTTTTTTTTTCTTTTTATTAATTATCGTGCTTCGTGAATTCAAAAACAGGGCAACAACGGAGCACGATTCTAATTTTTCTCTGAAAACTTGTCCGTTCGTTTAATAACGTATTAAGTTGGCGCGTGTGAAATGGCGAAATTTTTTTTTTTCAGGCGATATACCATTCAAACAGTTACTCTAACAGAGTTACTGTTTAACAATTCAACGTTTCAAATATTTTTCCTTTTTTAGCTCACTAATTACACTATTAGACGATATTGATTATACTAATTACTTAAGAGAGAGATACGTGGAATTTGAATGTGAATTTCTATACATGTTTCAATTTACCAACGTCATAATAGCCGGTTTCCGTTGCAGTGTTAATTTTATTAATCACAACAGTCCTCTCTCATATATTGCAGTGTTGATGAAACATCGAAATGATTCGTGTAATACACGTATAACATGCATAATTAATATAAATCTAAATATATATCCACTCTACAGAGGAGCAACTCGAACAACAGAATAAATAAAGGGACCAAAAAAGAAAGGAAATCAACAACAACTCCTGCGCATTCTCCAACCGCTTGCTTCGCCCACACAAATCGCGCAACCCAAACGTGTTTCCCACCCACGAAAACCTCGAACCCGCTCGAATCGCCCCGCTAATTATTTCAATCAATAAAATTCAGTTGGCAGCGTCTCAATTTGTTGCCCCATTTCTCCGATCGTTCCACCAGGACGTTAACGCTGACAAATACAGGCTCGCGCGCGATATTTCATGCGTTAATGTCAAAGTTCAACGTCGAACGAAAAAAAAGGACAAGGACAACAGAGGGCAGGGGAGGATCGAGTAATTTCCTCGTCTAGGGATCCAGCGGTTTCCGGCAAGAATCAGTCGGGCGTTCATTCAGGGATTCATCGAATAATCTAATTCGCAGGGGGCAACGGGCAACGATCCGTAGTTTATACAGTATTGTGGTGAACCCTATCCCGGAAACGCATTTAATTAAACCGTCGGGGCTTGGATTCCACTCGGCGATGGAGAAACACTTCTTTGAGTCGCAAATGCGAAATTTCCATCGGACGACGCGGAGACCTGGTTATATTATCTTCTCTGTCGTTCTCTCTTGACGCCTTGTGTGGAGAATTTAAGTGTGTCAGTATATGTGTTTAGTGTGCGTTAGTATATTTTAACCAATTTAATATAACTGTTTCAACCAAGTTTCGATATTACTTGTACGATATGTAAAATATTTAAGAATCGGAAAATCAATTGTAATCATGTTTTAATCGTTGTACAAAAATAATTGCAGTCGATCAATCGATAAATTTTATAATCAATTATAATTACGTTTCGATCGTAATATAAAAATGATTGTAATCAATCATGCGTCGATCACAACATGAAACAATTACAATCAATGAGTCAATTTTAGAATCAATTGTAATCACGTTTTAATCGTAACAAAAAAATGATAGTAAGTTATTCAAATGCATTTTAGGCGATTGTAGTGTATAGTGATTGAGGGAATGTTGTTACTATTTTTTTTTACTAACGTATGTATATTTATTTTGTAATCATTCTCCTTCTGCACTTGGTTGCAAGTGATATTCGCAATGGGATTGGATAATTACAAAATGAACATACAATACTTGTAAATATGTCTCTTCTATTCCCATTTATTTATTTTATTTAATTTATATATTTATTTATTTAAAATATATACTTATTTTTAGTTTTTTTCTTTTTATGCTACGGATTTAAAAAAAGAAAAATCGAAATCGTCGTCCGAGATTATTTTAAATTTCTCAGAAATGCTTAAATGTACATAATACATATCCAGATCGCTACGACAATAAAATTTCATCCCGCTAGATTGCTAGACTCCTAATGAATACCAACGACAATGCCCCAGTACTTTCGAGCATCTTTTAATAGTGAAAGAACGCAGCGTTTTCACACCGAGTCTCGAGACAAGCCTGTTTAATGGCCACTGTCGCGCCACGGGAGAAACTTTTAAAACGAGCGACGAAAACGTCCGACACGAAAACGCGTAATGACGCATGAAGTTGCGAGGAAACGCGACTGAATGAAGCCATTCGGCTATTTCGGCGTAAAATAGGTTTTTTTCAGTCAGAAACACGAGATACCTTCACTTAGATATTCTCGCTTTCGCAGCGAATGGATTCGCGGCAAGAGACAGAAAATCTGATGTTGACCCATATCTGAGAAGCATGGCTCCCCCGTGGGACCGAGTTTCATTTAATTTAGCGAGCATCTTTTCAGTCGATACACGGTGAAAGTGAACAAGGGGTTAATTAAACCAAAAATGGGAAGTAGAGTTATTTGAAAGTTTGAAGGTAATCGAGTTTTTCAGAGTATTTAATCGTGACGCGTGATTGATGATAATGTGAAAAGTTCTTTGAGAGTTCCTATTAATGGAGCTTGGATATTGAGGATGAGAAGTTTCAATTGAAATTAATTGTAATAATGGTACGAAACAATTTTCGGAAATCAGATACGGAGTGACGTAGGAGAAGAATCTTAATATGTTAAGTTTAGATTAGAATAATTTAAAATTCATTAGCAATGGTTAAAATCATCAATTCGAAATTGTTCATAGAAATTTCCTAGATTTTCTCAATTTTTCCTAGAATATATAAATAAAAGATTGCGCTCTCCTATTCCTTCTTATCTCTGATGAACTTTAGTCGTTTCGATGTTACAATTTTTTCAACAGGCGCATATGTGTGACGTGAACCTGCTCCCCATGCGTAACATCAATATCAAACTTTTCGACTGACGTCTAGTACGAAACAATAGAAAATCAATAACTTCGGTATTAGGATACTACTAGTTTGGTATATATCAAATATAGATTTTAAGTTTTAGTACATAGGAATAATTGTGACAATAACTCAAAAAAGTCAATGTTTTCCAATTTATATCCATCATTAATTCCCAAAATCAAATTTTCATATTAATTTATTTATAAGATAAATTTGCGTAAATGATCTTGTGTTACTAAACACGAATTCCTAGGAATTTCGAAATGCACGCGAAAGATCATCTTCCGAGTACTCTTACGATTCGTTGCGCTCTCACGATCAACGAACGTATTTAACACTCGAAGGAACTCGGAGATGAAAGATCAATGCTCGAAACGAAGGATCAACTAACACCAAGGCAACAAGAACAATACGTCGTCGAAGACGTATAATAATCTGCATGTTGTCTGAAACAGTCCCTTAAACCCGCAGAATTAATCGTTCCTGATTCCATCTGCCGATAACGCGCATTCCAAGCCTGATCTACCCTTCGTTGATTAATAGATCAGCCCGATGATCAATACCGATTATCATCACCGGAGTTTACATGTTACACATTGATTTCATGCACGTGCATTAATTAATCACCTTTGACGATGATGCGTAACACGCAGCTGGCCTGTTTCTTCGATACCGGGTGTCTCGCGAAGAACGTGATCTCGTGCACCCCCGGGGTCAGATTCGCCTCGAGCCTGGTTCCCCAGGAGGGTTTCGACCTAACGTATCGGAACCAATCGAGATCCGTCGATGGTTGATCGAACGTAACGAACGCCTCGTCTCGTCCTGGTGGTAATTCCGCGATCACGTCCTTCGGACATTCTAAACGAGGCTTGCTGTATCCTGTAACAAAATTAAAAACCATTGTACGTGTTAATCGTTTCGTTGCCGACAAAAAAGTAAACGCATTGCTGGAGAGAGAGAAAAAGTGATTTCTTTTCCTCGGAGAAAATAAAAATATTTAATCTTTAATCTTTAAATCTTTTAATCTTTAATCTTCAATATTTAAATATTAAATAAATATAATATATGAATAAATTTATATATTAAATTAATATAAATATAATATGATAAATTATATTTAAATATTAAATAAATATAATATATAAATAAATTAAATATTTAATATTTAATATTTCTTGAAATTTACTAATGACAAGTAAGAATTCTTTTTTTATTAAAAATAGTATCTTAGAAAGATGTTGTTTTTTTGCTAGATCTGATATATATAGTTATTTATCCTCTTAATAAATATCCACGATTTTTGCTAATACTTTGAGCGAATATTTTAATTTTCTTGCGAAATGTAAAATGATACTTATACTAGAAAGAATTTTTCTGTTCTGTTCTTACGACAAAACTTTGTAGTTCTAGATGATACGTCGAAAAATTGTACAGTACTAAGAGGATTTAGAAAAGACTGATAGATTGCAGATTAATATTTATTGCAAAACATTCGAAAATCAGTTTCATGGTTTAAATACTATGATGTGCTATTTTAGATACTTTGTGTATTTTATAAGTGTTTCTGTATTACATTTTGCAATGCAAGGATCAATTTACGAATAATTTTTCCAAATTAATTATTAAGCTATATCAGAATAATATTATTACAATGTAATTAAAAGAAAAATTGAAAGCAATAGAAATTATTCGCAAAATTTGCTCTACATTCGTTATTACCATTTATGACATTTACTTCAACTATATTTAATTAATTCTTTTATTCGTGCTTCAAGTGAAAGCATTTTCTTGTACTTTGAATAGAACATCAACATTTTCCGCGCCTGTAACTAGTTTAATTAGAGTCTGGCATAGCTGAAAGACATGGACTGAAATAAAATGTACATGGAGATTCATGGTTTGATATTATATCGTTATTTAAGCTGATGATATATCTAATATATATGTTATTTAATAATGAAACAAATTCGTAAAACTAATTTCTGACTAACATTTATCGTCAAAATAATATAAATTCTGAGTTTAATTAATATTTAATCATTAATTAACGAATTACTTTCTACATACTACCGTTTTATCTATTAATTTATTGCAAAAGAATTATAATTTTCATAGAAGAATTTAAATTTAAAATTTTTCTCGTTTTACAATACGAATCGTAAAATCGTGGATTAATATTATCAACAAAGATGCTAACATTTTTACTAAAAAAAATTCGACGATATAACATTTAACAACGAAATAAGAGAGAAAAGTAAAAATTGGAAAAATTGTTTTACTCACTGACACACTCGCCGTGTTTCGGACCATCCCACGAACCATCCGATCGACAAGTCAATTCATATTCCCCGTGAAGCTGATACCCATGGGGACACTTCAAGAAACACTTGGTACCTGGTCGATTGGCCACTCTTCGTCTACTTCTCCATGGCTTCGGCGTTGCCAAACGTGAACACATTAAATATCCCCGACCCTCCGGATTCAACGGTGAACAGGACACGTTGTTTATATCTGGAAAAGAAATTGAAATCCACCTTACTGTAACTGAAAAATGAAGAAATTCCCATCACGTACATTTCGTTCAATTCGATTGAAAAGGTACTTAATTCCTGACCAATCAATTTATGGTGAAAACGGTGTAAATATATTACGTGACTTGTGTGATAAATATAATGATGTAATTTAATATATAATACAATAAAATATAATAATAACTAATATAATTTATATTATATTTTTTGCGATCTCTGAACATGTTGTGTATAAATATATACTTGTAGAAGTGTAATTAAATATTTTACGGGTTACTAAATCACACAGATTCACCTATGACGTGGCGTTTATACAATATTTCATTTACATCATCGATTTTCCATTTTCTTTTTTTTTTTTTTTTTAACTGGAGCTGTCGTATTTTCCCATCGCTATACTACGAAATATTTAAAAAATTGAAGTATTTGTAACATTATGTTCTTGCTCGAAGATGGAAATTTAAATCACAAAATTACGAAACTGACTGATTATTTAAATACAACAATCGGAGAATGGTTCCGTCCATTCCATCGCGTAACTGAATTAATCAATAAAGAAGCTAATCCCAAATCCAAAGTCCACCGATAAACAGAAACACTCGAAAATCTCCAATTCGCTTTGCCCATTCTCTCCGAAGCCAAGGCGCATCGATCCCCGATATGATTTCCGCGAATCCCTTGATCCTCTTACAATTAGCTAAATTTTCGCTGACACGGCGTTGTCGGAAGGCAGGGGAGTTTCTGTCAGCGTTAATCGCTCTACCTTGGGGGGGAACGGCGGAACCGAGGCGTCGATACGTCCTCGTCGAGCGTAATCTCGATTCCCGGCGACGTCGAGCCAAGCATTATCGCATCCGTGGCGGATGCACCCTCCCATTATCATCCACGTCTGCATAATATATGAATCGTGGATGTTAATGACGATACGGTTAGACACGTATCGATGCGACATTTGCGCGGTGAATCAGCTCCGTGACGGTTCCGCATGGCGCCACCAAGTATCGACGATCGTTTGGTGAACGCGTTCCGACAGAAACGCGTTCGGGATTTCGACGTCTGTATGCGCGCCAACACCGTGCAAATCGGGTCACTTGACGGGGAATCTTGCAGATTCGCAGCACTGCACATCCTCGATCGTATAATCGGCTCAGGTATCGATTAACCCATTAACGGATTGATGCCGCGTTGATGCAATGTTCCATTTGCAGACATCTCGTCTCGGTTAATAATTTTGTACTGTGGTCAATTTCGTTACGACGAATAATGTGTATCCTGTGTACCTTGCTCGTAGAACATTTTTATGAGTGTACGTATGACGTTAACGCGTGTGCCATGTAACGAAATGTAATTTTGAAATTTTATTAACACCGCGGCGAGGTCTGATTATCGTGATAACATTGGTAAAACAAAAATCCAAAAATACGTTATACGTAGATATGGTGGAGATCACAATTTGAACACCCAGAATTTACTATTTTATTAATAATATTCGTCGGGACCATTTTTACTTATCATGTGCTGAAAATATAGTAGCTTTCTGTGTTAACCTTTTGTTAAAGAGATGTTGCTAATAAATTGCATGAAATGTAACTTTTATACATTTTGGCAAATTTTGAACATTTTCATACTTTGTTTAAACATGGAATATTTTTTAACTTTAAAGAAAGATAACCGAAAGAATTAAATATCGAGGTTTGTTAATACAATGAATATCTTCAAATATAATCATCACGTTTCATTAAAGTAATGATACCATTAAAATTATCAATATAATGATACTAGTAACTATGTAATGTAAATTAATAACAATTAATATAATGTATAATTATACATTATAATTATATTATATTATATTATATTGTATTATATTGTATTATATTATATTATATTATATTGTATTATATTGTATTATATTATATTATATTATATTGTATTATATTGTATTATATNTATATTATATTATATTGTATTATATTGTATTATATTATATTATATTATATTGTATTATATTGTATTATATTATATTATATTGTATTATATTATATTATATTATATTATATGATATTATATTATATTATATTATATTATATTGTATTATATTATATTGTATTGTATTATATTGTATTATATTATATTATATTATATTGTATTATATTATATTATATTATATTATATTATATTATATTATATTATATTATAATGTATTATGCATAATAATTAATATAATAAAAATAACATAATTAATATAACAATAGAAACGAGTGTTCAAATACTTTTGTGACCTACTCGGCACTTCCAAAATTATTTAATCAAGACGTACCGTTTAAAAAACCACGAGACATTATATCGTTTCAGTATCAACGAACTAGTCTTGTAACAGAACAATCCGCCAGATCGAAGACAGATTCTCTCGTAACGAAATTTCCTAATTCCATAAGGCAGACTAGAATAAACTAGTTAAATTTTCAAGTGTCGTACCTGGAATTCGCGGCTCGGATAACCGGAAGGCTATACTTATCGATAATTCGATGAGATTCGAATAGTTATCAGTTCGTCGCGAGACGTATACCCGCCGCGGCATAACTGTGCAAACAATCGCAATCTGGGTCACTTGATTTCATATTCGCCGAGGAACTTGTAAAACGTTAGCGTGCACCTAAGGGGCGATGCAAATTTCACTGGTGAAACTTCTTGTCTCTTTCTTATTGCCCGATAAGTTTATGCAAACGAGAAGGTAAACTCGGGCGGTGAAACGAAAATTTTTAGCAAGCCAGGCGAACGAAATCGGAATAACACGCGGAGAAGTTCGCGGATCAATTCCATGGGAGGGAGGCGCGGTTGCAACGGATACGGATTTGTTTCGAAATAACAGCTGTCGCCTTCCGCTTTCGATTTTATTGTATTTATTCTATTTACGATCGAATTTTTAATGCGAAAGATTCAATGTTTGCAGCTCTCTTGTAATAGAATATCAGTCAGATACGCCGTACTGCCGTTGTAGAACAATTTTATAATTATTGCGATTAAACTCATCAATTTCACTCCACGTTTAATTTGTCTTTTATCGTTGTGTCGATTATTATTATTATTTTTTTGTAATGTACAGGGTGATTTACGTAACATGCACATTTTTTAAATTATGCTTCTAGCGAAAAGTTGTTTAATACAAAAGTTGTATGGTTTCAAGGGAGGGAAAATATGATGTATCAATTGTCTTTTGGGTTCGGACCATATATTTTCTTTGCAACAAATCCAAAAAGAATATAAAATTCCAAGTAACGTAGCTTCCTGGGAATAAAGTAAAAATGTATTAAATACTGATTCATTTTAACGAATAATTTTCGTAATGAAACAATTATAACAAAACGTGAGTAACGTTCGATTTTATTAATCGTTCAAAAATAATATCGAAAATTAAACGGACGGATATTAAATTTTCAATAATTATATTTATTGATACGCGTTGCGTTAGATATCCCTCCATTTCAATTGTAGTCCTATTATTCGAGCATGCGATGCATGGTCGGGCATCACAATAACTGTTCAGTTCGCATTGCCGCCCGTGAGAAAGGGAGTAACGAATAGGATCATTGTTCCTAAAGGATTTGGCCACAGAGTGGAGAACGTAGAGGAGCTTTCTGATAAGAGGACGGTGAAGAACAACAAGGTACTTACTCCGAAACCTTGGGTATTTAACCTCGGAATCCCGCAATTGAATGCGAATGATTTAATCATTCGCTTGGACAAGGACTTTTTAACTTCCTTAATACATCTTGCAGTATATTCAAGCATTAAAGATCAAATAATGAAATAATACGTAAAAATCACGTAAAATTACTGTTGTTTGATTAATATTATGAAAAGTTAAAATGACAGATATTTCGTAAAATCCAGACTCAACGACGCAAGAAAAAAGTTCAAGTGTAATTGAAGATGGTAAATTTTTGAAATTTCATAGAATAAAATTTTCGAAACGAAGAAATTTCAACAAGAAAAGAAAAAGATTCTCCTTAACGTCGGAGTACGAAACTTGACAATATTCTAATAACGATCGAGCTAAATTTACAAGTGAAATGAGTTAATCAGAAAAATAGCCCCTAACGGCGTTAAATGGAAAACCACGATCTTTTAACAGGTTGAACAGAAAAACTAAAATAAGAAAGAACTTAAACTGATCAGGACGGAGGGAATTCCGTCGAGTGAAGGAACGAGATACCTGACAAAACATCAAAAACTAATCGCTTGAAAAATTTCGCCAGAGGTGCACAGCGTTCAAGATCGTCTAGGTTTCCGGAAAAACTATCGGCGGCGATGTACGGAAAAGTGTTTCAACCAGGAGAGATAGGAAAAGAACGTTGAGTTCGTCCTGCATAACACCAAACTAGAGAGAGACATGGTGAATTAATCCGACTGGAAGAAACGCGGACAAATTTGTCGTTGTCCCGTGAACACGCTTGCAATAAAGGAAATGTATTACTCAGACAGTGTTAGGCATTAGTCGGAAAAACGTAGCTGAAAACGTTGGCGCGTGTATCCACGATGACATTATTACGACGGAGCCAAGGAAATTTCCCCCGCGTCAGTGGAACATATTGCGTTTCTCAGACACGCGAATGATGTATGATCCTGGGGGAGGGGGCGACAAGTCGAATGAAAAGGAGATCCGAAACTTCTCCCCGAAGAGAAAAGGGGAACGTTTCGAAGGACGACGTGTACAGGTTGCATCAGACGTGTAGGTCGATCGAGTAGGACATTCTAAGGGATGATGAAGGAGACGTCTCTTGATTAATAGACGTCTCTATTCTTATCTGGTAACTGGCAGGTCTGGCGAAGAAAATTGTCGGTTCCAGCCACCGCTGAATATTGTACGTTGGTACAATATTAACAGGATAATAAAGAATGAGGTTTAATGTACTTCTGAACTGAAAACTATTTCACGCGGAAAATACGTTGTTTCCGTATCATGCTTGTGATGAACAGGCTGCGCGGATTTTCATATATTTAACGAACGAGAAATAATATGCAATGATATGCAGCACACAATTATTATCTGGTAAGCAGAACATTTCTCTAAATGTACCATTCACATTATTTTAAATTTGCACAAATATCTGCAATCTGGTCATGAATAATATATTTATATTATAATGGTAAATGAGAATATAGTATTTGAATTAATGATTGTTATACTCTTTTCAATCTAATGAAAGCTATGTTTGTACGAAACTTTCACGCATGATTTATTGACAATATAATTTAACTTGACATCTTTCCAGTTTTTATTCCTCTGGAATTTTATATATCCGAAATTCTTCAAGATTATGGTAAAATGATATTGACATATTAAAAGGCAACTTCAAAATTAAGTATAATCAGAAATTTAAAAATGAAACCGAAAGGATTACAAAAATATTCTTCTATATGTCGAAAATGAAAGGAATACTTCAATGCTTCATTAAAATTAAGTATGAGTAAAAAACGGAGATTGGAAAAGTTAAAAGAATGTTGCTATATCTGCTATAGGTATACGAAATATGTTTAACCGAGCCACTGAATATATATATTATGAAACGGTGAATACAAGACAAGAAACTTACCAATGCAGGACTTGCCATCCGACGACAGAGCTTTCTCATCACCGTCGCAAGCGCAGAAAAAGCTTCCGTCCGTGTTCTCGCAAACTTCTGTGCAGCCCCCATTGTCAACCGTACACTCATTGATATCTACACAGACGTATGCAAAATTATTTCAGCTTTTATGCGAGAGAAACAACGCAGGAATGGAACTAAATACACTAACGAGGAATATCGTTCCTGCTTTACGTTCACCTTCCGCCATCTCGCGATTTATAAATAAAATTTTCAAAACCGACTGGTGATGCGTTCAGTTTACCAATACGTCGTGATAAATAGGCTTACAAATAGAATGACAGGATTTATATGACGAATCGAATTACACGCGAGAAGAATGTGTTTATGGGAAATAGATTTGAAACTTTTTCTTTCACATTTGTGTCTACCAAAAAAAAAACTGGTTCATAATAAATTGTACATTTTATTCCTTTAGAATTGTTTCTTAAATTTTATCCCTGCGAAGGATACCCATTGCTGAAAGTTCTACTTCGCACAAGGGAGAGACAGAGTAAACAACCAGCGGGTCATTTGTAAAATTGGAAAAAGTATCTGTCTCTAACGACGTCGACTGCCACCATTGGCCACCATTATTCTGACGGTAACGAGCATTTCCTCCCCGTCGAAATGCCGACCGGTATCGATCAGCATTCCGCAAAGTTCAAGTTCCACCACGCGGGCGTGTACACGCGTCTGATAACGTGTCTGACCTTTTATCGCGTCTGGGATGAGTATCGAGAGAGAACGGCGGAAGACCCTCTCCCTCTCCCCCCTTCTTCCTCCTCTTTTTATTCGCATACAACTACTCCTCGCGGACGTGTCTGCATTCTTTCGTTGACCAGCCATCGACCGGCTGGTCAATTGTCCGCACGATGGCGTTAAATTGACCGAAATAGACGTACAAGGGTCGGCCAGATTGCGATTGCCTCGAGCGCTTTCAATGACCGCCAAGAGTGCTCGACTTCCGTCGCTTTCACGACCTATGGTCGCGATATGCCGCGCAGCCAAGGACTATCCGCGCGATAATGACGCGCCGACAAAATGAACGATCCAACGAAACCCTCCCCTCTTCCTCCCCCATCCTGGAAGCCACCCCATCACTGGGTCCTCGGGGGCTAACTCCTCGTGGCAAATCGATACAACGCTGCTTGATTTCTTTTTCCTTTTTTCCTTGTCCCCGCGAGATTTCTATTGTTGGCCAGGCTCATTCTTACTGCCCGTTGATACCTTTCGAACGTGAGAGGAATACGTAAGAGGATTTATTTCGGTATTAGGGGTGTGAATTGTGGTGTGAATGGCTGCTCGAGAAGGAGATCTCTCGAGCGACGGAAGTCAGTATCGAAGGAAACGATTTTAAATATTTCTTACGGGTCTGCGATGAAGTTGTTGCAAGAGTGTCTACAATGTTAACGAAATTTGACATTTCTTCTAGAGAAATTTAACATTATAGTTTTGGTTCACACGATCCGAGTAGTGAAATGAAGTGAATTTTAATTGCAACTTTCTGCAACGCTCGTATCGTACAGTATCGTATTTTTTTAATATCCCGTATATCATTTATATTATTATTTATTGTACTATAATTATTATTTATATTTTTATTTAAATATATAGAACAAACTGAACAGTAGAAAAATATATAAATTGAAAATAAGTAGTCACGAACTGTATGAATAAATAAGGTTTAAAAAAATCGAATTTGTTGATACTACCTAATATGATTAGACATTTGTATTTTAGAGGAGCTTTGGAAGATAAACTGAGGGTCGACAGGAGAATGTAGTGTTATAGATGGAGTGAATCAAATAAAGGAGTCCGTGATTTCGTGGGGCTCAAGATAAATGAAGTAAAATATTTCTACCAATATTTTAAAGCTCATATTATGAGCTACGCTGAGGTATATAGATATATCATTGAAATGAGACTGCTAATCAATAACTATGTTTCCTACAATTATACTCTATTAACTGAGTATAATATAGCTTCTCATACTATATCAAAAATTGCTACGTTTTGACGGAACGAAATAGATAAATTATTTGAAAAATCATAATTTCAATTTCGCTGATATATCATTTTACACTCGAGAAAGAGTGTTAAACTAAAAATTCCTTTATATTGCTTATAGAATAAAATATATCCAAAAATTTCCGTTATTTGAAAAAATTATAATTCCAATCTAATTACTATACCATCTTACACTTGAGAAAAAAATTTTTCTAAATAGATCAATATAAAAATTTCCTCGCATTGTTTCTTAACGTACCGTATAAAATAAAATATATAAATCTCTCGAAAAATGATTCTTCGATATGAATGATGCGCGATATCTAATCAGAGAAAATTTCAGTGATGACCGATAATTAGAAGATGGACGTATTTGCTTGAAGAAGGCGCGCGATTTATTTTCAGGATGGCTGAGTCTCTCTCTTTCGGTTCATCTCTCCTTTTTTGACTTTTAACTGACGCTCGTTTCTTTCGCGCAGATAAGACATGTACATGTACGTATATAGATCGAGGTGCGAATTTCAAGCAGCCAGCCATAATTAATCTTCCGTCGGAAGGAGATCCAATGCAGCTCTCCCTCGAGATCGAAAACGATTTTTATCACTTCACGTTATGCGTTATTCATTGTGAAACTTGCGAGGAAATCTGAGAACTCTCAGGCTGAGCTAGACAGCTTTTTATGCTACTTCATGGGCCTCGTGTGCACATATGGCAGACATCGATCCAACCAGCCATGCAGCAGGTGACTGAGGGAAACATATTAGAGAGTGGAAATCGCTGTTACATAACTCTGACGCTCGACATTTGTCTAACGATAAAAACATCTCACATAATTTCTACGTGTTTCACTCCGTGTTTCATCCCTGCAGTTCCGAAACTATGAAACCAGTCGATTCTCTCGCATAAAAAATATAAAATTCGTCCCAGACCATTTTTAAAAATATAAAATTCGTTCTTTTCCAAAGAAATGTTCTTCCTATGAATTATAACGTATGTTACACAAAACGTCTTAACATTTCATTAATGCTGTTATAAGATCATAATGCTTATATCGTTCGAATTTAAAACAATATTTAAAGAAAAACGAGGATTTTTAACATTCTATGGGCACTGATTTGTTTATTTATTAATTAGAGTCATGCACAGTCTGAAATGATGACGATGTGTTTTATAAGATAAAGTTTAACTTCATCTGGTTTTAATGAAAATCCATAAAAACGTGCAAAATCCTTCCTCTTTTATTTTAAACGCGTGAAATATGTATATATTTATCGAGGGGAAGAATAATGGCAGAAAATTACTCTGTTTTTTTCCTACAACTAGACTTCCAATTTCTATGCAAATTTATATTTTTGTGAACACAATTGACCCTCGAACTGCCAACCCTGTAAGCAGAATACTGTTTTCTGTATTAATTGTAAATAAACAAAAAAATCATATGTATATATATATATATAAATTTATAGAATATTTTCATTTTCCCTTTCTTTTCTGTATATATAATTTAAGCGTTACTAAATATTAAGTATCTACAATTCTCCGATGTGGGTCAAAAGCGATTCGGATCTGCAAATTCTCGAGGTTCGATGGATTAAACAGAGATTCATATTGCCTACTCAAATTTATAATGAATCCCCTACTTTGGATATTTTATACATTCGGTAACTCCCTTCATTTGGCGCACGTGCTTTCGACATCGATGGTGGAACGACCATTTGTCAGTAGACGCTATCATCCGGCAGCTAGCATAATCTAAAAGTCAAAATGGGGAGTGTCGCGTACACCGTGCTAACACCGATGTATGTACGTATAAAATACGCAAATTTAGTCGAACCTTATTCTAGTTGAACCGAATTTTATCCCTGTAATATATCCCTCATTGACTAACTAAGAATCTTCGTTACTTTGTTAACTTTGTTCATGTGTTTTCTCTGTCATCGTTATTCGTCTTTCTCGACTGCTCATTGTTTTCATTGTTACTAGTTACACTAATTAGCAGCGTACCGTAAAAGCCATTAATAATAGGTGAATAGTGTGTTATATTACCGCACAATAGTACGTTGTTACAAGCTCATTGAAATAATCGGTGACGAGATTGAAACGTGTGCCACGCGTAACAATGGCGTTTGCATAAATTATATTTAAATTATTTCGGACGCAATTCATGGACGGTGAGATTTTTTAATTAAAAAGAAATACAGAGCTTGAGATAGAACGAATATGTTTTAATGAAAAGTATGAAAAATATTTCGAAATATTTATATTAAATAATTATGGAGAATTGTTATTTGTAACATATCCGTATCCATATAGTTTCCTAGCAATAACCAACGATAGGAATATGAATTGCAGTAGCTTAAAATAATTTAATTTAACAAAGACCGATATTACTTTCTAAATTATATAATAAGTAAAATATTAAATTACGTATTAAGTTCTATTTAATTTTTCAAATATTCAACAGAGATGAAATTCGTTCAAACAACAATCTGCATATGTCTTTTTTTTTTTTGTCAAAAAAATTCAATATGTAAAGTTAACAGTTCAACATTCTTTAAATTGTCTCCAAATACTGAAACAATTACTATCCTAATATTAATACTACTACTTAATAAATTATTTTAATAATTTTAAATATCATAAATCTAATAATAATCTAATATCATAAATCTAATACATTTGTGGACTATGTTATGAAAGAAATCTGTAATCCGATGTATGTAATGAAATTCTTTTTTAAATTTTAATTTTCTAATTAAAATACTTTTACTAGACTCTTAGAATATTCGCTTTGTTTTTATTATTTTCATAAAACGGTTTAGAAATTATAAGCGACATTTATCCATGTTATTTGTCTCTTTATCTATGCTATCCACTTCAACATAATAATAATAAACTTACATTAACCATAATAAGCTATTATTATAATTAACGATAATAAAGTTACTTTATAATGTTCATCGAAATGTAACACCGAAAACAAACAAAATTTCTACATAATCTAACACAATGAATAATAATGAATAACAATGAATAACACAATGAATAATAATACACAACAAACAGTATTGTTTAAATAATATAAT